AAAACCCTGAGGGGGGCCTTTTCAGGTCATCGGGAGGCCATTTTGGAGCCGCCAATCAGCTGATTGGCGGCTCCAAAATGGCCGCCGGACCGCGAAAACATCGCTGGAGGGGTAAGTTTGGGCGCCTATTGGAACGCATTAAACTAAGTTTAATGCGTTCCAATAGGCTTTTCCTGCCCCGTACAGCGATGTACGGTGGCACCACTGTATTTTTTTTCTGATTACATGATGCAAAGGCTGATTCAGATCAATCCAGCCCCTTTTGCTCTCATCACTGCTTTTTTCTCTCTCTGCTGCTAGAGGCTTCTTTTTTCAAATCAGAATGAGTGGGATTTTCTTTTTCCCATGCGATCAGTTGATTTGTTCTCATAAAGACAGGGGGCATGTCTGTGGGTGGAGATTCATACACAGTTGGTGTGTGACTTTCAGGCTGGAACACTCATTCTCACATTTATTCCCAATTGTCCTCTAGCTTTTTTTTGTTGTTATTTTTAACATATATGAGATTAGCACTAGATCACCATGTCACAAGTATTGATGATATATTAGTTTAGGGCTAGGTCACCTCCAGATGATTTTTTTTTAAAGTAATTTAAGAACAAGACCAAAACAAAACAACCCAGATAAAAATAAAAGTACGTGGTATTTCTGTACACATTAGGAAGACCTCTGGAATGCTGCCACCTTTCCTAGAACAATGTACAACCCTTTGAAAACTAAGTGGTTTGACCGTGAACCATAAACTGATTGTCAAAGGTAGAACCAGAGAAAAGAAAGAAGGGGCTGTGGACTGAAATGAGAATTGCATCACATCAAGTATGAACAGTGAATTTTTAAATCAATTCACAGCCACTGTGTGATCATTGATTATAGATTCAGCCTTAATACAGGCTGTAGATAAAATCACAGCAAGCTCTAATTTGGCTTGCCAGTTTAGTCACAGCCTAAATTGACCAAGGACATCATCTAAGAAAAATTATTATTATTATTAACTTCAGATTTGTTTATTGTATGCTATGTCTACCACACCATTTAGCCATGGTTTTGTATAAGCAGGCCTTCCAAGATTTTTCTACTAGAAGAAGAGTAACCAGGACCTATACTGAGTATCACAGTTTGCAGACATTGCTGGTCTGAGCCTAGATTAATGAGTTTTAACAGAACTGTCTGCAGATACTGTACTGTGATTGTACATGTCTTCTTGCCCTTAAAAAGGCTCACAAAACTCTAACAACACAGATGGCAGGAAGATACTATGTTATCTGTATGACATTTAGACTGTATATATATTTTTTCAAATGTTCAGAATGCTTTATGTGTATGTTCCCCACAACAATAATGTAAGTCAGTAGCCCAAATGCAGCCAGAGTAGACCCACTGAACTGACTGCTGAGTGGTGAGTCAACATTAAGCTGAAAACCCACTAATTCACTGGATCTACTTCAGTTGGTACTGTCACCTTAATTCAGGCCAGTATTATTTACATATTGCAGATACAGAGGGAGCAGTCAGGAAAAAAATATGCCTCAGCCATAAAAATTGCCTGCCCCATTTCAGGTCCATCAAGGCAACCACACATAGATGTCTTATCTACATAGGAATCACACACAAAATATCCAGTGTGTAGTCAAAGTCATCCCATCATTGCAAGCTAATTACTTTTAAAATATTTATGACATACCACCCTGTTATTTCATTCCTGGGTCTCTCTTGTCCTTCACAGGGCCAGACGTTCTAATCAATATTCAAAGACCAAAATAGAGCTTTAAAGTTGAACATGGATCTGATCGCAGGGCAGAAAGTACAGGACAAAAATGTGCAAGGAAGTCTACACCATGCCTTCCACGTCTGGAGATCCCTGCGTCATTATACACTGATTGTAGAGAATGGATGCGCTTTATATTGAAGAAACTTCAGTTAAAGATACTAAAAATGAGAAATGAATTAGGCTCTTCTTAATAAATAAAGGCCTTAAAAGGAAGAAAAAAATATCATGGTAATAGTTTTGAGCAAAAGTGGTTAGTTACTCTGTCTACAAAAGCCAGACAAGAGAGACAAGGAAGATTTTCAGATGTTTGATTTGAAAGGTGGTGCTTGGTCCTATAAATCTCCTCACTTAATTACATGCCACCCATTTTAAGGGCTCAATTTCTAATGCATCCAGGAAGTGTTACAAATCCACTTTTTAAAAGATACAGCATGGAGGAAATTTCTTCCCTTAATGTCGCGGAAGAGATTATTTTTCATCCTCTGAAAGCCAAGGGTGCTCTGATGAAGCTGTGCTTCTCATTAATCTTTTTTTTTTTTTAATTTCAAGAGAATCCGGCAGTTACAAAATGATTCTGTGATGGGCAAACACAATCATGCAAGCACACATACATCCTTACAATCCAAGTATGTTACCATTAAAATTGGATCTTCAGTGGTAAATATCCAATTGTATGGCTTAGGTCTGAAATGCAGTACAGATTTCAAGTGACATTCAATTAATCTTGGCTACGACAACAACATCCAGCAATAATGTGTAAGCCAAGCAATTTGGCACAGTGAGGTTTAAGTCTGTATCTTTGTTTTTTTTTTAAAGTAGGAAACTGTACAAGTCTCAGAATCTCAGCATTTTAACTTTGAACTAGATTTACAATGGTGGTGCTTCTGATTAAACAATCATTGTAACAGCATAGTAAATCACTGACGAGAATCTTATTCGTGATCACATAAGGTTTGTGTTATTCGCCATAGCTAACTTTGATGCTGTGGTGCATCTCCATTGCGTGTGGTCACATGCCTGATTGTGCAAACATGATGTGCATGAACACCTTGTCAATTAATCACAATTAGCAGTGGCAAATTATGCAAAATTTACATGCACACCACTGCAATTCCATCTGTTAGATACTTAATGGAACAAAGCAGAAAAAAACATGATGATATGATAAGCTGGTGAGCAATTTGAAGAGTTGCATTACCATGCATGAAAGAAACCTGATACAATTAAGCTGGCTAATATAAATGAATTGGCATTTTAGAAATTAATAATTTTATTGGTTAAAACATATATTATCTGATGCAAGTGTATGCTGAAGGAAATGTATATTAATGTATGTGTAAATGTATATTAAAATGTGTATTCAAACTAGATTTAATGGGAAATATTTCAGTGATAGCTACAGATATATCTGAAGTCAAAGGAATTAGACAATTGCACCAGAAAAAAAGCCTTTATGTGATTTTGTACAGTCTTTCAGCCCAGGAGGTACTACCTACCTCATTTTGGAGGTGGTGTATTGCATATATGAACAGGGTAAGACACAAACCTATTCCTTTAAGTGAGCCTTCCCTTTTAAATGCACTATAAAAGTTTCACAATAGCTAGGAGCTTTCTCTAGACTAAATACACATTTCTTTGGTTTTTTTCCCCCTCAGAGGATCATCTCTAGATCTTTTGCCTGTATCTTTTTGACACAACACAGCAGAACTAGTACTGGATGCTGTTTAGAATGAAAAAAATTATATTAGAATCATCACTTTAATTTTAGCCTGTTAAACCACAGTGGGGCTCCCTTCCTCCAGTGTAAGCAGTCTTCCTCAGACACAGATCTGCTATTTTTGTTCATGTCACAGAGTGCCCTTACAACAGTACAGAAGCATGAAGAAATATTAGGTGATGGATTTTTCTGTATCTCATATGATATTAAATGGCCAAAATCCTCTTGCACAACTACGCAAATGCTGTAACTTTTGGAGGCAATTTGCACCAAGTTAAGAAACTCAGTATGCAACTGATAAAAGTGTATGGCAAATTTGTAAATTGAGGCAATTCACCTCCAGAAATCACTCTGTTTGTGCTATACTAACATAACTAGATAAGAAGATTTGGGTCATAACTTTGCTTCGTTTGGACACAATCCCTGTGGCGGCGTCAAAGTAGTGTAAATGTTTTATGCTTTAACAAGTAAGCCAACAGCCTTAGAGTGTTTCTTTTACTGACACTATAAACCATTTATTACAGTTTGTAATCCAGCTTGGAAGCAACATTAAACACATTGCCTCAACTCCCAGTGTTAGCATAAACTGTAAACAATTTGCTGTGGCTAATTGCTGAGGTGCTAGGATGAATCTGAACTGAGTGCTTGGACACATGATCAAGCATCTGACCAAAACAAGTTCCAGCAGTAATCAATTTGCTGTAATTAGCCACAACAGATTATGCAAACTTTACACAAACATGAGCAGGATCCTGGCCATTAAAGCAGAAAAGCATTGTAATGGTTGTTAAACATATTTTAGTGTAATGAGTAATATATATTACCCCTAAAGTGTTACTTCCATGGGGTTATTTTGAGATATTTCTAGATTTTTGTTTTGTTAAGAATTAGTTCATGTCAGTCACATTTTTGGATACCTTCACTACAGCTTTGACTTTTTCCTTGATTTGTCTTTGGGCTTGGTGGTCTAGGATTTCACACCAATTTGTGAGCATGACTTGGAAATGGGTTTGTCTGTTTTCCTCCATCACATGTTTTTGAACTACAGTTCAGAATTCAGCAACCCCTTCCCAGGATTTTCAAACTTTAATTTATGGTGAGAAGTAGTTTTGAGTGGTAAGTACTCAGGTCTTAGGACAATAAAAGAAGGTGTGTGTATTCTAAAAATGTTATGGAGCTTGTATCAACTGAGCTGATATCTGTTCAGCCAGTTTATACACTTAACTCATGCCCCCTCCGCGCCGCTTTTTGGTCAGTTCATCTATATCTACATGGAATTAGCTTACCTGATTGACTTTATCAAGATTTTCATCTATGTCCAACAATAGGCTTCCATTCTCCAGCTGTAATGCATGATTGATGAAAATGAAAGTGAACGATTTATGAAAATGGGATGTACTGCTGAGCACAACAATGATGACTTCAACAATTATTGATTTTACTTCTTGAAAAGAACTATTCTGTAGTTTCTTAGTAAGATGTTTTTGCTTACCTTGGTGATAATCTAATCATGCTGGACGTATGGGATTGCTTCAATGCCAAGATACAAGACAAGTGAATCTAAATTCTAATTCATCAATATATATCTAAACAACCATTCCTTAGGTTCTTTCACAACAAAAAGCTTGTGTATGGGAAATGAAGATGAACAGGGAGTGTGGGGGACAGGGGGAGGAAAGAGTACAGTTCTCAATGGTTTCTCTTGAGTTATATGGGTTGCATAAATGGATTACAAACTGTGAAGGTGTGGGAACAGACCTTTATAGCTACCTGGGAAGATTTATCCCCCTCCAATTTATCTTGGTTCAGGTATGTGGATGACACCTGGGCGAAGATCAAAATTTAGGAAGCATAGGTCTTCACAAACCACATAAACACAATGGACCCAAATATCAAGTTCACCAGGGAAGACACCAAAGACAACCGGTTGGCTTTCCTGGACTGTGCAGTCATCATAGGATCCAACAACAGTTTAGGAATAGAAATCTACATAAAACCCACACAGATTGATCAATACCTGACATCTGACTCTCATCACCCATTGCAACACAATCTAGGGGTCATCAGGACATTAAACCACAGAGCAAGAAACATCCCCATTGCCACAGAAGCCAAGAAGAAGGAAAACAGACATCTGAAGACAGCCCTTAAACCCTGTGGATATCCAAAATGGGCCTTTAACAAGGTAATATCCTGACCCAGGAGGACAATGGAAGAGTTTAAGACCCAGAGTTGATGGAACATGGCGGGTATGTCCAAAAAGCTCAAAAGGATTTTTGGTAAACACCACATACTACACACTTGAAACCCACAAACACATTAAGGCAGAGATTCATCCACCCAAAACACAACAGGAACAATAGAGTATATGCAGTCCAATGCAAAGAGGAGTGCTCAGAGCTCTATATTGGAGAAACCAAACAGTCACTAAACAGGAGGATGGCCCAGCACAGGAGGAGTAATGGCTCAGGACCACAATCAGCAGAGTTCCTTCATTTGAAAAGCAAAGGATAATCATTTGATGACCAAAATGTACTAATTTTGGACCAAGAAGATAGGTGGTTTGAGAGAGGGTCAGGAAGGCCATACATGTGCATATAGAAAATCCTTCACTCAAGAAGTGTGGAGGCATTAGATGCAATCTGTCTCCTATTTATCATGCTGCCCTTTTAACCCTCCCCAGAAAAATCAGGACCACACACTAGAAAGACCACTGTTAATTACTGTTAACGACCCATGACAACGGGTGGAGAAGGACTGCAGAAGTGGGATTTTCACTCATCCCCTGTCCTTTGCCCATTTAATGAGCCTATTCAGATCAGGGGGAAGTGAAACCGACATGGTGGATATATCAGGGGCTTTCTATCAATTCTCCTCAGACTGAAGAAGCTACTTGGATGAGTAGCAAAATGTTTCAAGAAACTTTCAACCTGATAAGAAAGAAGTCCAACTGCCATGACTCAACTTCCAGACCCCCTCCAATTTGTGTCCCTCCAATACAACAATTTGTATAAAAGAAATATATAAATAAAGTGCACCATAGAAGGGAATCCTTCTACCTAGTGATGGTTGGTGAGGGTTTGGATGAAAGATATTAGATGGTGGTGGCACTGTGCATTTATGCAGTATTCAAAGCAATACACTGGATCATTCAGAGCACGGTAATATGCAGGGGCCCCCTCTCCAGACTTTCTACCTTTGAAGATCTACTTGGTGGATGATAAATCATTCCATCAGGATGGGGCTGGCTATACATAGCTCTATAGAAGTTATTATATACTATTACAGAACCATCCATCAAGAGCAATCCATTTTGAAATGCAACGTCTTTAACCATATCTCATCTTCATTCCTATTTTAAGGGAGCATAATATCCCATATTTACAAACTTTAGGTTTTTTTAAGAATTGAATTTCCTGACTTTTAAAAAATGAAGTTTACATATACATAGACTATGCACAAATTCCAACAAAAACTTATCTCATGTAAAATTAGCCAGTGCCAGAGGATCCCAGAAGGTGAGCCCATGATCTGTACTGTGGCTGCTGGGAGAGGACAGTAGCAAGAACAGCTGGGATGTGTAGTCCTTCTGTGCCCAAATATTTTGATGGGTTGTTTTTTAACTTAATGAAATGGTGAAGCAAAGGTCTGAGTTAAGTGCAACACAAACAATGGAAAAACATACACACCCATTAACCTCTCAGGTAAGCTAATGCTGCATGCCCACTCTGCACAATGCAGACTAGAAAGTTATTTTCCAAATTCCAAATCCTTTCCTTGGAATAAGCAACCTGAGAAAGAAAAGCTATATTAGACCAAAAGCTCTATGAATGCATTCCATGCATATTTTCCAAAACATGTCTCCTGGCCTTTAGAAATACTAAAAAAAAAATAGACTGGAAGTTAGAAATATTGTCACTGGAGACCAAGATCAAAATTATCCATACTATGGGAAAGACAGTGAGGGAAGACATGGATAATGCTGGTTTTGATCTGTAAAGTCCCAAATGGTTTGGGACTTCAGTACATGGCAGATTGCCTCTTTCTATGAATAGCTGCCCTTCCTACCGGCGCATTGCAGGCTGAGTGGTTGAGATTACTTACCCCATGGGAGTCTCAGAAGGAGAAAACAAGAAACCATGCCTTCTCGGTAGTTGCTCCCTCATTTTGGAACAAACTAGATCTCTCTAGTCCTCTCTCTGGAGATTTTCAAAAAATCCTTAAAAACTTTCCCTTCCCCAGCATGCCTTTTAAATCATGCCATTGCTGAATGCTCTGCTTTGCGTTTGAGTTTAATATTCTGTAGCCATCCAATTAGTTTTAGTCTTATTGTATTTTCTATGCTGTTTAGTGAATTTTTTTATCTGTATATGTTTTGTGCTACTGCTTTTATTGATGTACACCTCCAAGAGTAACTATCTAGCCAAATGGGCAGTCTAGAAGTCTTCAATCAATCAATCAATCAATCAATCAAAATGTGGTGTTGAAGGAGAGCCTTACAGATACCACAGACAGCCGGTAAGGCTGAAAAGTGGGTGCTCAATCAAGTCAAGCCTGAATTCTCACTACAGCAAAAATGAATAAACTGAAGCTATACTATCATACACATATGGTCAGAGACCACTGGTAATGGTGCGGCTAAAAAATCTTGTAAATAAATAAAATATAATGAAAAAACACAACTGATCAGAAAAGACAATGTTGCTGGGGAAAATGGTTTGGGAGTGCAGCAAGAATAGATGAGATTGGTTTACTTAACAAAGGGATCCACAGCTTAGTTTGGAAGACCTGAGCAGAACTTACTGCAAAAGGCAATTTTGATAGGAAAGAAAAGCAGTAAGAATAGAGAACAATTAATATGAAATGCTATTGGTCTGCAATATGTGAGCAAAGATGTTGATGACAGGACATTCTGGAGGTCATTAACTCATATAGTCACCACACATCAAAAGTGACTTGATGTATCCTATATCAATTGTAGAGTGACAAGACCAGTGGAATGGTTGAGACTATGACAGGATATAGGCATCAAATTCTGCCAACATTGAGTAAGACTATCCACAGCAACAAAGCAAAAAACCTTAGCAATTTCACAGCTTAAATGCGTCAGCATCTGAATATTTGTTCTCTATTCTTTTAAAATATATTTTAAAATATTTTTGCAACCAGACACAGAATCCCTTTGGCAGCACAAATACCTGTATGGCCAGGGAGGAGTTAAAAAGTTATCCTCCTGAGAGTCAACTAATTGGTTCCTGACAGAAAGGGTCAAAAGTTCATATTATCCCAGACCTGTTTGTAGAAAGTATTCAGGGCTGTGACAAACACAACTGCTCTATGATTTTGTAATGCAAAAGCAAACTTTTGTCTCTTCACAGAAAACCTGTCTTTTGACTGTTTCTTTGACCTTTCATTGCTTCCCAACATCTTCCTTCCTGGCCACAAAGCTGCAATAATGTATCTTCTTTGTAATTTCCCCTTTGAAGACTTGTGTTAGGAGCCATTATCTCAGAAATACTAAGATAATGTTTGTGGAAAGTATTCAGGGCTGTGAGAAACACAACTGCTCTATGATTTTGTAATGCAAAAGCAAACTTTTGTCTCTTCACAGAAAACCTGTCTTTTGACTGTTTCTTTGACCTTTCATTGCTTCCCAACATCTTCCTTCCTGGCCACAAAGCTGCAATAATGCATCTTCTTTGTAATGCTGGTGCTACAATTGATATAGGATACATCTATTTATGCTCAGTCTTATAACAAAATAATTGGGGTTTTTTCTTTGTGAAAGGCCTTTTTTAAGAATCAATTTTTCAGCCTCTCAGCCTGGTTTCCTTCAAAATAAAAAAGTGGGTGGGGCCAAACATTTTCTTTCAAGGTAAGCAAGATTGGTCTTTTCAATTTTTTTGATCTGTTTTAAATCCGGGGATGTTTAAGATTACTTGTTTCCACATGGGAGGTAAAACAGTTCTCCTTTAAAAAACCATAACCTGAATACACTTTGCCTAAACTTTCCTGAATTTGGTACAGAGATCTGTAGCCCAATTAGTTTTTTGTTTGAGTTGCCCACATTTTTAATTGTCTTGCAGAATGTTAATTTGTCGTGCTGCACACTCTTGTGCAGTAATAGTATAATAAAGGAAAACTAGTTCTTGATTTCAAGGAAATATGAAATCAGACAACCACTATTAATTTGCCATAAATCATGGATTTTCCCCAAATCCAAAAGATATTATTTTCATTTATAAGATTTTGCTCCTTTTTCCATCAGAGAATCACTTCAGTTGTCCACTTCAATTCTTTGCCATTGTCACATCAAGTCACAGTGCACTCCCAACTGTCTCAC